ATCCAGATAGTCACAGTCAGAGCAACAAGACTACACTGGAAAACAGGTGGTTCAAATGGTCAAAGTAAAGACAGCTTCCTGGGGTACGGGGTGCTGTATGTAAAACTTAGCAGGCAAAAATTGGGATCAATATTTATGGTTATTTAGCGTGTTTTGATAGAAAATCATTTTTTACTATGTCAGTCATTCATTTCTAAAAATGTTACTTTGTTAAATAAATATTTATATTAATATTAAGTTTTTGCAAAATAAAAATGTAGTTTTTAAAATAAATATGTAGCTCCAAACTAAATATTTAAACTAACTATTTATCTTGGAGCTAAATATTCATTTAAAATAACAACATTTTAAATTTCCAATCTAAATATTTATTTAAACAAAGTAAGATTTTTATAAATGAAGGAACAACAGAGTAAAAAAAAAATGACTTGGAAAAAAATAACCACCTTATTTTTCTCTCAAAAGATGCTAAATAACCATAAATATTGCTCCTAGTTTAACTTTACAGCACCCCATACTGAGGTAGGTCTCTACCTGCATCGAAAAAATTTAGCCATGTCATTTTTTTTTACGGGTCAGTCAGATTGGACAGAAAGCAGAAGTTTTCCAGACATGAATTCATATTTGGGATTTTTTAACATGTTCTTTTCCTGCTGGAGAGCAAATCTCTGCCTCATTCCAGGTCTTTTTAACGAGTCGCTTCATCCATGTTTCCTGTCCCTGAAAAGCATCCTCACTGTACAGAGACTTTCCTTCTAATCCCATATCTTTGTTCATTGGTTCACTTCAACTAGGAGACAAAATGAGAGAAAAAAAAACAGGAAATCACATTGAAGATTTTTTAAAAGTATTTATGAGTAATTTATTATAGAAAATAAGTAATTGTTCAATAAAAAAAGTTCAACTCCACATCTTTGCAGCCTAACCTTTGTAACGACAGCTCTCGCTGTAGCTGGAATCAGATCTCTGCAGAGCTCTGATGTTTTTTGGGCTGTTGCTAGGCAACACACACTTTTAACTCACTCCACAAACTGGAGACCGGCTCGGCCACTCCAGGACCTTGAAATGCTTTTAACAGAGCCGCTCCTTCGCAGTATGTTTGGCATCATTATCCTCTCACTGTTGGAAGAAGGTTTGGGCTTCAAATCTCAACATATGTGGCCATTTTTCCCTTTTAGAGAAAAACTGCCCCAAAGCATGATGAATCCACCCCCATGCTTCACAGTAGGTTCACTGTTCTTGGGATGCATCTGGATGCGGTTGAGTTTGTGCTGACCTGCTTCTTGTTGTAGATTCTAGCTTCCCGACCTGCTGCAGATCTACAGCGGCTCCTTGGTTGAGTTTGGAGTCTGACCTTTTGAGGCTGTGGAAAGGTTTCTTTCCACAGATAACCAGTTCAAACAGGTTTTATTAATACATATAACCAGTGGAGGACAGAAGAGCTTTTTACAGAGGAAATTACTGATCTGTGAGGACCAGAAATCTGCTTTGTTTGTAGGTGACCAAATTATTATTTTCCAAATAGATTCTTTAAAAAATCTACAATGTGAATTTTTTGGTTATTTTTTTCATTTCATATCACATAGCTGAAGTATAGTTTAGTGGGAAAAAAAGTATTCAACAATTTACTCCAGTTAAATAAACGGAGATCGATGGATTTCACTCAGTTGGCACTTTATTTTTATCTTTGCAAAGAGAGAAGAGTTCATCATATTATTGCAGGTTAATCAGCCCTGTTCTGATCTGAGCAGCATTCGTCCCCTTTTCACTGCAAAAAAGATCTAGAAATAAGTAAAACATTTCTTAAATTAGTGTATTTACCCTTACTTTGAGTAGGTAAATTCAATGATTTGCCAATGAAATTAGTATGGTTACTCTTAAAATAAGATAATTAGATAATATGAATTTAAAATAAGACAATGCAATTGTTTTTTTAATATTTTAAATGTATATTGTCTTGTTCCATTGGCAAAGTCTCTCACTTTCGACCTCAATTAGGGGAAAAAATGCACTTACTTTAAGAAAAAATTACTTACTTAGATTTCCATTTTTTGCAGTGTTACTTACAAGAATGGAAAGTAGTCAGAGTCAAAAAACATTACAGATATTTTGGTTATGCTATGAATAAACCTTGAAAAAGAATCTGGTTTGTTATGGGAAGAAGTATGTCTCCAAACACCCTCATTGTGTGGCCTTGCAGGTGAAGCAGGCTGAGTGAAAACCTTTATGGTGAGTAAAAAACAAATTAATACATGAAATAAGAGAAGCTAAATTTTCCAACCACAATAGCTACCTCAGGCCTCATTGATGCCTCTCTGCTGTTCATGCTTTGCAGGCTGGTTCAGGTTAACAGCCGTGTTTTGGTTGGTTTACAGCTGATAAACATCATTCTTAATGGAGATAAAATCCTTGACATGTTCCAGGCTTTAGATTTAGTTTTAGAAACTTGTCTGCTTCCAACTCTCTGACCTGTTTGCTGAGTTACTCTGTCTTCATCAAACCGTTGGGGCTCCTATGGTGCATTTAGGGTGAGATTAGATTTGACACCGGTGGATCTGAA